AAAAAAAAAAAAAAAAGAAAGAAAAAGAAAAAAAATATTGTAGTGGTGGTGGGGGATGTCCATTCCTGCCAAACTTCAAATTATATAGATCCCTAACTGTATCTCACTTTTGGACACATTTTTAAATGATATACTTCTAGCATTTTACACAGGCTTTGTAATTTTCTTTCTTTTCTTTCCCTAACCCCATCCACATTTGAACAGTTAGTTGACTGCTACTTAAGTCCACAAAGCACACAACCGGGGCTAAAATTCCACCACTAAGGGCATAACGATTTCTTTGTACCAATCACATTAGATTTATGAGAGTTATGCTCATCAGCAGTCTCTCATGATTACTGGTTAATTCCATTTTGCTACTAACTTTTCCAAATGCAGCAAGACGGTTACATATCTTTGCAAGTATTAAGGTACAAAAAAAGACACTGTTGAACCCTGAAAGCAGTACCTCTGTCATTTGTCAGTCCAATTTCAGGCAAGTTAGTTTTAGTGATAACAACCCTTTGAGACAGCTATTATTATTACCCTCAGTTTGCAGGTGAAAAACCTAAGGCACAGGGAAGAGACCTGACGAAGGACACAATGACAGCTCAGATACAAACCCAGGCAATCACCTTTCAGGGTCTGGGCCCCAACCACTGCACAATGTCACTCTTGTCATTCTTGCAAGCATGGGCTGTATTAATCACCCCAAAGTCCAGGCCTGTCTCTATGACAATGACAACAGCTTGTTCTTTCTGAGATTTCAGGCTCTTACAGAACGTGAATAAAATAATAGCCCCTCCTCCCAGAATGTTTGGCAAGCAATTTTAGGACATTCATGGAGCCTTTCAGTACCTCTGTAAGTCTCGTTTTAAACACTTCACTAACTACCACCGAATTCTCCTTCTTTCCCTCTCCCTGACTCCACATAACCACACCCACTGCCTAATGCAGTCCTCTTTCATTTGGTTAATGTACTACAGTTTGGTACTATTGGTTAACCTGACTTAATGAGCAGTGGCCAATAATCACCAACCACTAAAAGGCTCCAGGAGACAGATAAAGAAGAGTCATCTCGAGAAATGAAGGTGAGACAGAGTAGAGAATGGGGCTTGGCCCCACCCCACTAATGTGTTTCTCCATACATTCTCAATGACCGCCAAGCCTTACAGCACCACCCCAACTGGCACCATACCTGCTGACAGACCTTGCAGGTATTGTATGAAGAAACCATAGGCAGCACCCTGCCATAAATCTTACTCAAAGAAGTTAGCTCCACCACTCACATGAGCTCAAGGAGAATGACCAATCCTAATCTCTAGTCTCATTATAATACAAAATCACCACCCAGGAAGGGGCTTATCTGCCACTTTCTGATCATGTGTTAGCATGATTCCTTACTGTGTCTGCACACCCCGCATTCTACCCACACATGTAGTGATGCTCACCTACCTCGTGAATCATGCACTCCCCTCGGAGAGCCAGATGGAGAACCCTCCCTCCCTTAGGTCCAACCTTTCTGGGCATGTCTTTTTTTTTTTTTTTTTTTTTTTTCTTTTTTTGAGACGGAGTTTCGCTCTTGTTACCCAGGCTGCAGTACAATGGCGCGATCTCGGCTCACCGCAACCTCCGCCTCCTGGGTTCAGGCAATTCTCCTGCCTCAGCCTCCTGAGTAGCTGGGATTACAGGCA